TAAAACTATCTCATTTCTCTCAATGTTAAACAATTTTTCAACGTTATTTTCTTAATTCTAAAAAGATTCAGAATACTATATATTACATTCTAACGTAAGTCTATGAAAATGAAAATAATTTTTACCATTTTCAACGTTCAAATTATAGCTCTTCTAGACTATATAATGCATGTGTATAAGAATAGTCAACAAAGCATCTAGAGTGGGGATAGAAGGTCCTAGCGAAGAACTCTCCTTGCTCCTGTGCCGTCTCGCGAAACTTCTTTCGACCAATGAACAGTGGAGGAAGATAATATATAATTTTTACGATCGTGCCGTGCTCGCGAAATATAGTTATTTCAACGGTACTTCAAACCGCGTTGCCTGTCGCGAAAAATAAAATTCCGAGCGTTCGTAACAAAATTCGACTTTTTGTTTTATTTAAACAGATCGAAGAACATTGAAAAACGCGATTGATCGTCGTCGAACAAAGAAATGAAATTGAGAAATCATAGAAGGAAGATTTGATTTCCACCGGTGAACGAATATATATATACACACACACACATTTAGCACAATTTTATAATAAGGATAGAATAATCGGATTACTTTACATTTTCGCCCCTAACGAATATATAGATAATGTAATTTTAATTCACCGCGTGTACAATCCGATTGGTTATTCGAAACGAATATTGAAGTTAATCAAGAGCGGGACACGAGATATTGTCCAGAGGTTGGACAATCGGGGGGGGGGTTTCGTTCGTTCGCGAAACCGATCCTCCGATTTCTGGGCTGGATCACGCGCGCGTGGTCACGAATAAGCGGGGAACTATTGAATAATTCAACGGAGGAGGGAAGCACGTCGAAAATTGTTAATATATCGCGATTTTACAACAACGCTTGTTGCATTCGTTAGGACGAGCATAACGCGTATAATGACGATAATAATTTTTATCGCGATACACGCGGCCCACACGCGATTCCCGCCCGCATTCGTATTCCGAAACGAATTCCTCTCTGCCCCGATGATTTACGTTAATCGGTTGCAAGAATATTTCGCATGCGATTCTTCTTTCCCCGATTATTACACGGTTTTGACGATTTTTTTTTTCCTTTCTTTCTTTCCTTTTTCATTCGCGTTTTCAATTCCCACGGTTATTATTCCATCCTCGTCTCTCCTCTTTCTCCTCCCTCCCTTGCTCCACTAGGTCGCGTATTAATTGAAACGTTACGTCGAAAACGTGTTCTCTCGCCCTGTTGTTGTTGTTATTGTTGTTGTCGTTGTTTCGTTTTATTTTGTTAACGCGTAACCTACACGGCGGGTTAAAAGAGAGAGAGGGAGAGAGAGAAGAAAACGTTGCTTCGTCGATGGTGAAATATATCGCGGCCGAGCTTCTCTCACGCTTCTCTCCGCGCTCGGTTGACAGCTTCCTGTTCCGAATTTGCACACGTTTGATATTCATGCTTGTCACTCGTGTGACATCCACGAAACCGTTGTTCCTCTAAATGACTTTGACACGGTATATCAAAATTTCTTCTTTTTTCTCTCTTTCTCTCTTTCTCTCTTCCCTTTTCCATACGAATATATTTCTATACAAAACGAGTTTCGAACATTCGTGGAAAAATTGCATGGAATTTAAATCGATACACGACAAGTTGCAAGCCAAGATTGGTTCCACGATAACGAAGATAAAATCTGATTTATTTCCAATACATAACCTTTCTTCTCTCTCTCTCTCTCTCTCTCTCTCTCTC